CCAACGGGTACTTTTGGACCGAAATCTCGCTCATTTCGAGTTGGCGCGTGGTGTCTCTGCCGGGGCCCAAGTCCCACTAGCAGCGTTGAGTTTCCTCAACGCCTGAATCTGGACGTGTTGGTGGAGACGTGCAGTTGAGGAAACTCAACGTGAATTCTGCATGTGTCGACAAACACGACCAGATTCAGGCGTCGAGGAAACTCAACGCTGCTGGGGACTTGGCCCCGGCGCAAGTTTTTTTTGCCTTTAGGATTTCAAAACATGCCGCGTCGGCCCTTTTTTTTTTTTTTTTTTTTTTGTTTCAGGGTGCCAAAGGTACTGGTGGATTCAAAAAAATAAACAAGACGGAAAAAAGGAAAACGAATAGCTGTACAACGGTACTACAACCTTCTTATTTCTACGCCGAATCTACGGGCAACATATTTTACAAGAATCGTACTATGGCACTACCGCTTCACTGTACATAGTAAATTTTACAATCATCATGATTGTACAACCTCATCAACCTTGATATCTTACAATGATAACTTGAAGGAACTTAAATACAAAAAGTACTAATACTAATACAACGGGCGGGCAACGGGCGGGGTGTTATTTTACAATTATAGTACAGTAATTAATAAATTAATAATAGAGGTGGTGAATCAGATGTGGAAGCCAAACCTTGAGATCTACACTCAAATCCCATTTCAGATTAAATTTTGTGAGAAGTGCGTGGGTGGAAATAGGTGGGTGGGTTAGTGGGTCCCACTGGGTGGGTGAGTGGGTGGGTGGTACACCCCATTTCAGATTTGTGAGAAGTGTGAGTGTGGAAATAAATGGGTGGGGGTCACTGAGGGTGGGTCGGATTCCGTGGGACTGTTGAGGATGATCCTGACGGTGTTCCCGCTGCAGATGAAGTCGAAGAAGATATCGGTGGTCATGATAATGAAAATGATGGCTGCAGCCCGCAGGAAGAAGGGGACACCAGCAGCAGCAGTTGCTATACTAATTAGTAATTGCATGGGGTTAGGTGCAGGCAATCCAAAGGGGAATTTCAAACCGCAAGCAGAAAAAGAAAAAAAAAAGAAAAAAAAAAAGGAAGAGTCATAGCCACCATGATCCTCCTTCAGGCAACAAATTTTGCGGCCGGCTTACGGCTTCTCATTGCTCGAAAGTTCGAAACCGTACATGCAAGCGGCTTACGCTTTCGTGCGGCAAAATTGAGCGCACACGTATGGCGCACACCAGCGCACGTCGGGATCCGTGCGGCACACGGGCACGTACGGCGCACGAGCATGAGAAAAAAAAAAAAAAAAAAGAAAGAAGAAAAGAAGAAGAAGAAGAAGAAGAAACCTGGGAGAGTAATGTCGCCACCTAACGGTCATCACTGATGTCCCAGGTTTGAGGCTCTTTGTGAGCCTAGTAGGCTTTATTTCTGTCATTTCTAATGCCCGACAGGATCTCTTCCTTACTAGCTAGTACACCCGTGACCCTTCCCCTTCCGCATCGATGACAAGCTGGTGCGGCGCAGGGGCATGTTCCGCACATCCCGCGGCGCACCTTCCCGCACGAGCCGCGCACGCCCGGCCGTGCGGCTCGTGCGGTTGCAAGGATGCTCGAAACTAACTGTTTCCTGTACAAACCTCAATTCCCACCTGAGGAGGAGGAGGAGGAGGAGGAGAAAGAGGAGGAGGAGGAGAAAGAGAAAGAGGAGGAGAAGGAGGAGGAGGAGGAGGAGGAGGAGGAGGACAAGGAGGAAGATGAGGAGAAGGAGGAGGAGAAGGAATCAACGTTGCAAAGTCAGGCATTTGCCATTCCATGAATTGGGTAACCTGCCCCGGAAGCTCCGCCAGCAATTCGCGCGCGAGGTGTTGCTGGCTGGTTATGCTTCTCATGGAAACGAACTGCACGATATCTCGCTGAGCCGTGTGTCCATCGAGTTGGAGGGGTTCATCATCACTGTCCAGCACCTCCATGCTGCTGAAATCCGCATTGCCCACCCCTACAATCAGGATGGACAAAGGCAAGCTTGATGCCCTGATAATTGCCGATATGGTGGATTGCATGTCATTTATGACCCCGTCTGTCAGAATGAGCAGGACAGAGTACTTGGGCTGTCCCTTCGTCCAGTGAGTTTCTGCAATCTCCGAGGATCGGGTAATGACCGGGGCAAACAGTGTTGGCCCCGCCAGGGTAACCACTTTGAGCGCCCTAGAGTAGGAGTCCAGTACACCTTGCACACCGTACACTTGTGACATGTGCGGATCCGATTTGCCGTTCAGATTGAAACAGTGGGACACCATTCCTGCTGCCACTCTCCCACCGAATCCCCAAGCAGGGAACCATTTATCCCGGTCGTAGTACTCGATGATGCTACCCACTGCCAGTATAGCCTGCTGATAAGCGTTTGTCACATTGCAGTCGTTCTGGGGGTCCATGTAATGAAGGGAATTGGGGTGGGAAGGGTGACCGTTGGATGCGGTGAAATCGATGGCCACGTGAAAGCTGATCTCCACACCACCGAAGACGTACTGCAAGAACGATTTCCTATGTTCCACCTCGCACTGCGTGCAGATTAAGTAACCCCTCACTTTGGGCGTCTTCTTCTCTTTCTCCTTCTCCTTCGACTTGAAGTGGAAGTTGAAGTTCCCCTTCTTCCCACTCCCACTCTTCTCCTCCTTTGCTTCCACCTTCTTCTTGCCTTTCTTCTCTCGTGTAAGTGTCAAACCAATCGCTGCCAACGGCGCGTCGATCCCCAACTCCTTCACCCTCGCTGCATCGCCACACAGCTCGTTCACTGATCTGTCGACCATCCCGATGAGATCGTCGGCCGAGAACCGGTCGTAGTCATAACACACAAGTCTCAGCGGACTTTGCTTGTCGCCATTGCACAGCTGTTGTAATGAGATGGAGATGGGTTCCCAATCAGGGTCCACAGACCGACGGATGACCTTTGTTTTGTACACAGGTGCATAACTACCATCCTCAAAAGACCTTAATATCACAAGATAAGGATCGCTTTTGCCAAATAAATCCATCCTCTCGAGCTTCTTCGCCTGAAACCGGAGATTAACTATCCCATGGCTTAGCAAACCCACCTCCTCCAGATGAATCGTAAGGGTGCCCCTTGGGCTTGGGGTCTTGCCTCTTCCACTTCCTTCAGCTTGAGCTGCTTGGCTACTCTTGCCACTGCCACGCCTGCCGCTTCCCCTTGATGACAGATATCCCACAGACCCCTTCTCACATCTCTTCGCAATGCCAGTGCTTGGCTGTTGATTCGGCGACTGCAGCTTCTTTGATCGGTCCTGCAAATCCTTAATTAGTGCTTGGCCGTTGGCAGTCGCCAGCTCAGCAACGGTGCAAGTGGTCTGTCCCAAGTAGTCCTGGTTCTTTAAGTCAAGGGAGGACGTGTCGCTTCCAGCTTTCGGGCACGTGTCCACGTCGTAGACCGTAAACCGAAGCAATTGTTCACACTCAAAATGATAATGCAGCGTAAACGTCTTCATAAAAACTGGATCGAGGTCGTTCTTGATTACCTCAGTTCTTCCAATCTCTACCCAGACTGGTTCCAATTGACTCCAGGTCTCCGACAACTCAACCACCACCATTGGGTCCGACTTCGAGAACACGTCTTTATCGAGCAAACCATTTGCACGCAAGCTGATCTGGACTAGGGCTCCTTGTCCCTCCCCTTCTTGACCGAACCACCTCGGAGGTGGCGTGCCAAAAGTTTCTTTGCGCTGACAAGAACCCCAAGCGCCATGTTCTGTTGGGCTTTGACGCGGCGGTGGGTTCTTCTGGCTTTGCTGAAGGTTGAAATAGGAAGTGGCAGCGGCATGTTGTGTTAATATACTTAGAGGCGGACGACTTTCTGCTGCAATCTTATAACATTGAGGAGGAGGATAGAGGCCTTCAGAGACAGTGTGTGAGGTGACAACATGACCACCTGGTAAGGGAACGAAGGAACTATTATAGATGTTAATGCTAGGGGTGGGCAAGTGGAAGACCCCCGTTGGGACAGCAGCAGGCGAAGCAGGAGCAGGCGGATGAGGAGCAGGCGGAGGAGGAGCAGGCGGAGGAGGAGCAGGCGGAAGAAAAGGAGGAGGAGGAGGAGGAGGAGGAGGAGGAGGAGGAGGAGGAGGAGGATATGGTGCAGGCCTCACTACCGGCTCCCCAACTACAGGATAATGTAGCACTTCTTCTCCTCTCCTCCATGTCAAACTTTCTTCTGTTTTTTTGTCATTTTGCTCAGATGGCGATGTCATGGTACTCTGTACGGAGGACTACGGAGTCGTACGGACCGTACCTTGGCGATGGCCCAGGCTCTGTGATTGAATTCTCTACCGAGTTCCAGCTGTCTTTGTCGGTCCCAGATATTGGCAGATAACACCCCCTCTTGGCCCCTCAACCCCCATTCATATGTGGTGTCCAGTGTCCAGTGTCCAGTGTCCGGTGTCCAGTGTCCAGGCACCTGCTAGTTTCAGCAAACTGTGTAGGTCCTGTAGGGGTGTTTCAACCTTGCTGCTGGTCTTTTGCTTGTTCCTCCCTTGAGTCCCCTCCCCTTTCTCGCCGGCCCTGATCCTCTATTATTGGCACTATTGCTGCCCTTCATCCCATAACCTGTAGGCTGTAGGCGCCCCTTGTTCTCCCTTCCCCTTTCGCACACTGTGTCCTCGTGCTCATTGACGGCGAACAACTTGACAGACAATAGTACAGTAGATCGGCGAAGGTCCTCAAACATGAAAGGGCTTCTTGTCTTGCTCTTGCTCTCATCATCTTCAAGCAAGAAAGCAACTGCACAAGAAAATCGAAAAGACAAGAGAGAGAGAGAGAGAGAGAGAGAGAGAGAGAGAGAGAGAGAGAGAGAGAGAGAGAGAGAGAGAGAGAGAGAGAGGAGAGGAGGGAAGAAAAGAAAGATCATAGGGTTAGGGAAAAGGAAAGAACAGAATGGAGGAAAGGAACACAGACAGCAAATAGAAAGCAATTTCAAAGTTTAGATAACCTGTACAATAAGGTATGCCTTCTGAATGTAAAAGGGGCGCTGGACCCGTTTTCCAGCAGGTGCAGCTCCCCACCAATAGATGGAGCAGCTGGAGGCTACTACTAGCGGCGGATGCTCGTATCAAGTTATCAACCCCTCTAGTAGACAGACAAGGCTTTTCGGGGAAAAAAAAAAAAAAAAAAAAAAAAGAAATGCCTTAACGGAGGGGGGGAAAAAGGAAAGGAAAAAGTGAAACTCAATTCTTCGTGTGGATGAAATAACTCCCATCTGTTCTGCAGTCAAAGTATTTCCGGCAGCTGGTTGGTGGGAACGAGAAGTATGGAATATGTTTGGTGTGTACTTTATACCAACCAATGCATCCTGATGTACGCCGTATATGAACAGAGTATGGTTTTGAGGGTCATCCTCCGTTACATGAGGGAGAAGGTTTGTAGCACGGAGAGAGATCTGTGCTTTTCCGCAACGTGGGTGTACTGCGAGTCTGCGAGATGTAATCCTCATACCACATTGCGGGGGGGGGGGAAACAGTTGTTTTACTTTTCAAGTCGAGTCCATCTGTCACGAAAAGACTTCCCCCCACCCACCCAAAAAAAAAAAAAAAAAAAAAGAGACTTTTCCTTAAGTAGATATGTGGAAGCACGTTACGATGATTCAGAGAAAGGTTTGCGAGTTCAGTGCCTATTGCAATGACTCAATGAAAATTGAAAAGAGCAGCAGCTACAACCAAGCAAAGACCATCGGATTCCAAAATACAAATGAAAAGAGGATAAAAGCACAAGGATTGATAAAAGGATTCCATGGCATGCTCGCACTACCCCCTTTTCCCCTCCTTTCAACTAATTGTGGAGGGGTGGGGCAATCAGCCACACATCACCCCCAGCCCCCACAAACTCCATCCCTCAAATGCCAGCAGCCTGCTCAGAGACGGAAGGCCCGCCTTTTTATTTGCATGCATCACAACAGCATTATCTATCTTTAGCGTTTTCAAACAGATCTGAGTTACTGTAGCGATTTATGCTCAGAATCTGATTTGCACGACAATTTGAAAGGAAAAGGAAAAGAAAGAAGTATCCAAGCTCCCTAGCGCGTGGATGTGTATTTGTGTCTTGTCATATGTGTGTGTGTGTGTGTGTGTGTGTGTGTGTGTGTGTGTGTGTGTGTGTGTGTGTGTGTGTGTGTGTGTGTGTGTGTGTGTGTGTGTGTGTGTGT